TTCAATGGTAATTATTTATATTATAATCATTATTAGAAATTATAATTCATACATTTATATGAAATAATTAACTATATTATTATAAGTAGTTATAATTAATAATAAAAATTTTCATAATGGTAATTAATAATTTGGAAATAATCATTTTATATTTATATTAGCTCATATTAATTATTTTGAAAATAAATATTTAATGATAATTATTACTTCAGAATGTTAATTAATTAATGATAATTAATAAGTATTTTAATAATGGTAATTAATAATTGGGATATAATCATTTTATATTAATATTAATTATTTTATAAATACATAGTTAGTGTTACTTATTTACATTATTATTATTACAAGTAATTATAATTAATACTATTATTATTCTCCAATAAATATTTCATTTAGTGAATGTTAAATTATAAAACTTTCAATTATTCAATATTTTTAAATTTAAATAATTATAAAAGAAAATATTATTTTATGAATTAACTAAAAATCGTAACTATAAAAAATTAATTACTTGATAAAATAAAAATAAAATAGTAATAATAATAATAATAATAAACTTTATTATTATTATTGATTTCACAATTATTAATATATTATTAATCTATTAATAATACTGATCATTATTAAAAAATGTTAATATCAAAATTTAATTACATAAAATTATTTGTTGAAAATACCCATTTTAATTCGGACAATTATTAATTATTAATTTCTTAAAATTATTATTTACAGAATAATTTTAGTTACTCTTTCATTAACGACCTTATTTTCGAGTAATTGGTTTTATATGTTCAATAATTTTTTTTTTGCAAAAATCCAAATAACTTTTCATTTGCAATGTTAACCATTTTATTTTTCTCTTATTCAGTTTTCCAAAAGATAAAAAAATAAATTAATGATATTTACCTATTTTTATCAAATTATGTATTTATCAAGTTGTTGTCATTGATGATGACGAGTCAACTTTTTGAAAGAGAGGGGTACTAATAATAATTAATGACTTCTAATTAATTAATTTCAGCTATTAATTACTAATAATAATAATTTCTTATAATAATTACTACTAATACTTGACTACTGATATTAACTAATTACTGATAATATTTCTCATTATTAATTCGGAATAATAATTAATAACGATTTTCATAATGGTAATTAATAATTTTATATTTATATTGACTCATATTAATTATTTTGAAAATAAATATTGAATGTTAATCATTTATATTAGAATTATTATCAGAAATTATAATTCATACATTTATATGAAATAATTAATTATATTATTATTATTAGTCATTATAATTAATACTCATATTAATTAATATAATTATATTATTAGCATCAATAATTATAATTAATTATTACTTTGTAATGTTAATTAATTAATGATAATTAATAAGTATTTTAATAATGTTAATTATTAATTGGGATATAATTGTTTTATATTTATATTAATTCATATTAATTTTTTTATAAATTTATAATTAATGTTAATTATTTACATTATTATTTTTATTATAAGTAATTATAATTGATACTATTATTATTCTCCAATAAATATTTCATTTAGTGAAAGCTAAATTATAAACTTTCAATTATTCATTATTGTTAAACTAAAAGAATTATAGAAGCAATTATTATTTCAGGACTAATAATCGTAATTATAACAATTTAATTACTTAATAATAATAATAATAATAATAATAATAATAATAATAATAATAATAATAATAATAATAATAATAATAATAATAATAATAATTTAATATTGCTGATTTCAAAATCAATACACACATAATAAGAATTTATTATCAGTAACTAATAGTGATAATAATATACTTATTATTATTACTGATTTCATAATTATTAATATATTTTTAATCTATGTTACTCAATAAAGACATGGAATAAAACATATTCAAATTACCACTAAATGAATGAACTAAAAATCTATGAGTATTCTAATGGACTTGAATTTGACACATTAATATGCTAAAAATTATAATTTCAACCTACATTTTCTATTTCTATCTCCCAATTCCCATAATTCAAACATACCATTAGGTTATGTACAAGTTTCCCTATCTTTTCCTAAAGATAAATTCTAGCCAGTCTATGTGCATTGTGGGGAGTTTAGACTTAAAATCCATAAACCATGATCGACCAAAAGAAGCGTTGCCACCTAACTTGGAGGTGACTTCCATACTTAGGATGGTCCCATTATTCTCCTTTCTTTCATGTTTCTTCTATTGGATGGGTTTCGGAGTCCTAATTATATTATTAGTTGATTGTAGACATACATGATGATGATTTGATTGTAGTCATATATTTTTCATTTCTTACTTTAGAGGATGGATGCATCTGCAAATGTTGTTTGGCATGGATTGTTTTTCTTAGAAGCTCTTTGAATGATTTTCTTCCTTCTTCGCCTCTTTGAATGGATATCAAAAATGATTTTTATTTATTCATATGTTCCTAAATTTTAAGCAGTATTGGGGGTGGGTTGCTCAATAGGACATTGATTTTTTATTGTTAAATAGTAAATTTCAAATTAAATGATACTATAGTTGCCCGTTAGTATGGGGCCATTGTCTAGATAAAAACATGGTAAGTCTCTTAAATCAAATAAAGAGCCTACCCTAAATGTCTATTATAAATAATTAAAAAATGAAATAATTCAGATTAAATCAAATAATTACTTACTAAAAATTACTGAATTAAGTAAATAATAATAATAATAATCAATTATTTCTAGAAATAATTAATAATAATAACAATCATCAAGTACTTATTTAAGTAAATAATATAAAATGAAATAACAATCATCATTTATCATTAATGTTTATTCAAAACATGCCCCATAATAATTACCAAATACAGTAATTAAACCTTAAATAAGAATCAATATTTATTAATAGCCATTAAAATTGTTAAGCCAAATCATTAATGTTTATTCTTAAATGGAAAATATGAATTAACAAATCTATTATATAATAATTATACTCGGCTGGAAAAATATTTTAAGTAAATATTTAAATAATTACAAATTTAGTTAATATAATTACTAAATAACAAAATTTTAAATTAAATACTAAAATAAATTAATAATAATAATGGTTAAATTAAAGTAATAAACATTTCAAGTTGAATTTAATGACCAGTATAATTTTACAGGTTTGACATATAAAGGTCAATTTATGTGGACCTGTAGACTGTACGAGTGTCTTAAAAAATGGCAGTTTATAAATTGTAATTAAAAATGGTAATAAAAATCATTAATGTTTATTCATATATATATATATATATATATATATATATATATAAAAGATTAACTTTCCCGTACTTAGTACGGGGTCATTCACTAGTTTGTATTTATATTATTTCCAAACGGGAACTTTGCAAAGGAGTCAGTAAAGGCATTAATGCAGAGATGATTCCTAGAAATTGGCAACAAATTTCAGATGACTCCATTCCACCCTATGAGGAACGTTGGAATTTAACAAGCTGGCAAGCCAGCTCAACAAAGTAGACGCAGCTAGGCGAAGGGTCAGGTTGCTACCAAACCAAATGTGTATTTACACCTTGTAATTTGTAAAGATGGAGATGGCTCAACCAAAGTTTTTCTTTTCTGAAACCTCCCTTGAAGTTTGGTAATTGCAATTACCTCCCTGGAATTTTTTGACACTCTTATAAATAGATCCCTTTGCTAGAATCCTCTAAGAGCCATGAAAATGTTCCAAATACCCATGCAATTATTATTGAGGCTGGTTTCTATAGAAAAAAAAAAACAATACAAACTTTATAAACAATAACAAAAGAAAAGAGAATTTAAAGTTGCAACTTTACCTTCGAGCAATTGATATGAAGAGAAAATTTGAAAAATAAACATTTTGGTCAAAAGTAACTGCATTGTTGTTTTGGACATTTTTATGCCTTTTTAGAGGGTTCTAACAAAGGGGATTTAGTTGCAAGCTGCAACTATGTGAAAAAAGTTAAGGATAGGTGATTGCAAGTACCAAACTTCAAAGAAGGTTTCAGCAACAACCAGAAATTCCATGGGAGGTTTCAGCAAATTACCCTTTTTGGGTCAAACTGCCTTTCTTTTTATCAATAAAAACCTTGTTCTTTTTTTTTTCCTTGTAGTATATATACTTTTTTTTCAAAAGACAAGAAAAATTTTATCCATGATCGTTAGGAGGGGAATTATGACCAGACCCGTTGAAGAATAAATTAGAACAAATAAAACTTGGGATGAAAACAATGTCCTTATGGTTCCATGGGCATTTATAGATGGGGTGTTTCTTAAACAAACGTTTAATTGAAAAACGTTACTTTAAATATTTATTGTTTTTATTGTTTGGTTGGACGTTTCAAGTTATACCCCATATAGCTATCTTTCACCTCGGCTTACAACGTTGCAAGTAAGCATTTCATTTCAATAATCATTGTGGCGTTGGGAGAAACTAGAATTTGAAATTTCCCCTACATGAACATAAATCCAAGTGTTTCTGTTGTTTTAATGATGCCTTTTTATTTATACTTCAGAGGCAAAGTCTCTTGTAAACATTTGATTTGTGCATTTTTTTCCTGTCTCTCCACTATTATCCAATGCTTTGTTCATCTCTTTATTTTATTTTATTTTTGGTAAATTTGTTTTGTTGGTTTCCAATTTGTTTTCCACAAGGAGTGGTTGCTGCTATCTTAGGAAATTTTACTGCAATGTGGCAAGGCATTTACCAAGTACCGGGTAAGGATGATCATGGGCCGGGCTTAGCATCCGCGATTCGGGCCATAGCCTGGGCCCGAGTAGACTTGCTTTTAACTGAGCAAGACTACTTTTTTTGTGGAGGACCTGGGCTTCAATTCGAGGAGTACTCGTGGCATTATCGATGTTGCTTAGATTCTTTGCCATTTGTTAAGCGGGGAAAATCATGAATGGACATATAATCTGCTACCTTTCTTGTCATAATGGCTATCTCCTGCTTACTTAGATATAAAGCAATTTTGTTGTCTGGATGTTGATTTTCCAAGTGAAGGGCGATGCCCGTTCCAGTCGACAACAACCGACAAATTTTCATTGGTTTCTGATCAGAAAAGTTTACACATGGCAATTCTCTCAGACATAAGCAAAGGAACCCACCTCTTTTCTTCATCACACAACTTCTAAAAGACCAGACTGCAATCGTATGTGGTACCATTTTATTTACTTTAATCTACTGCAACTGAACCAAACATTTGGATAAGAGTTAGGATCTTAGACAAACTGATTGAGGTACTCGTCCACGCTGGTGTATTTCACATCAGGATAGAGCTCAGAAGCCTCCACACCAAACGAAGGCTCGATCTCGAAGTTGGTGTGATCTCCCTTTACAAAGACTGAGTGGGAAATGGACAGTACAACGTTGATTGGAATTGGGGACTCTGCATCAACAGGGAAACAGGGACACGTGAAAACCAACAGAGAGCAGGGTGAATGAGCTAGCATTATTTAGTTGTAAAAACAGAGTAAACTTGGATGGATTCCAATTCCAAATCCAGTTTTTACATCTATGCCCGTTGTCGAGCCCATTTGCCTACCAACAAAAATCAATTTAACTCATTTTGATTTAATTACTGAAATTGATTGATCCGGCAACCTTGGCTTCCTAGCTAACTACTTACAGACTAGACTACAGTAAAAAGCTTCTCAACTGCTAACACGATCAAATTAAGTTGGGTCTTACTGACCTTGGATGTCCTTGAGAAGTTTCTCCTCCGGGACGTAAATCCTTTCAAGGGTCTTGCCGATCTTCTTTTCCCACAGGGATACAATGTCATTGAATGAGTAAATGTTGCCCGCGGGTCTCAGGTACAGGATCTTGTTCAAGGTTCGAGGGTCATCTACAGCTCTGATCGTATAGGTGCCAATGTCTTCTTCCTTGTTGAAAACAGCTGCCATATGAAAATATGAACAAGTTAAAAATAGAGATGCATATAAAAATTCTACTAAGAATTAGATGTCTCACGAATTCAAATGCAACGCTTAAATTTGTTTGGATCTCCGATCCTAGTACACAAAGAAATACTCAATATATCTCAAGTAGCTGTTCAACCTAAAATCTTGAGCTCACCTAAACCTTAGGTGAGAGGCCTTTGAATAAGTTTTCATTTTCTAACATATTCCTTCATCAAACCTAAACAAGCATAGGCCCATCCATACCTTGTATTAAAATCTAATTAATTATAATAGGGCCTACGAGATAGACCATTTGACAGACTGATACCATTTCAAAAAATTGTTCTAACCTAAAATCTAAATCTGTTAGGTGAATTCCCTAAATAAGTTTTTATTTTCTAATAGATACCTCTAATTCCACATTTCCACCGGGTCATGGGAACAAAATAATGCCATGTAAATTGGGCTGCACTGTTTTAGATAGAAAAATAGTCAAAGATGTCCATCCACTTACCTTTTGGGTTTCCATCTCCTAATATGATGACTTTGTCCCTTGGAGGAGCAGTGGCTCCTGGCTGTGACAAGGTCGGGAGGAAAAAGCCAGCAAAGAAATTGGAGGAAACATAAGTGTAGGGGATCCCTGCAGCCTCAGTAGCACGGCGTATCTGAGCCTTGGTTGCAAATGCAGTCTTGGCTGGCTCAACAGCGTGAACACGATCCACGTCATTGCCAAATTCCGACGGGAAGAATCTCTGAGTAATGCACCACAATAATTACAAAAACATCATTACATTATCCAGTTGATCATTTGTACAATTGGGATGAAAAACATTAGAGTTGTTCACACCAGAAAAATTAAAAAGAAAACCACCTGTTTTTCTCTTCTACCTGAAGGTTCAGTCGTTCAAAAATACAACCCATTAAGTAATGCTCAGGAATTCACGTACGGCAGGCGTATTTACCATTTGCCCCGAAAGGCGAGTACTCGGTCTATGGTTCAACTTCAACCCTTACTCTAACCCAACCCAATGTTTGACCGTTGTTCTGTTTACACGCAACTCAGATTATAAATCGGGTTGGATTAGTTGGAATGTATGCAAAATTGCAAATGATAGGCATGATATTATTATACTTTCATCGTCATCCTCTCTCCTAATAACTTTTTCCTTTCTTTTTTTCCTCCGAAAAAGTGGTTTGAGGCACCAAAAAGAGAAATGGGGAACAAGAGGAAAAAAGGAGAGGGTTTAAACTTTAAAGACAAGGCACGGGTCATTTTCACATTCGGATAACTAAATTTTAAGTAGTGCTAAATGTAAGAAAGAAAACGATATCATTCATTAATGCACGCATTTGTAAGATTTATTAGAAAATATTGAATATGATTTCACGCGCATTTTTAATCCAAAACTCCAAAGAGCTGAACCACAACCTTTTTTCCCCCACAGATCGAAGGATTTCTCGGATAGCAATCAGCGTTGATCGTAAGAAGAAGAAGATGACAGGGCTCTGTACGACCTTCTTTTCACAGATCCAGAACACACGGAAAAACATTTTTACTTTATTTCCTTACTTTGTTTTACTGCAAGAACACCTCTCTCCTTCCATAAATAAAGGTGGTATGGAAACATTTTCACAAAAATAGAAGTTTTTTAACCCACAGAGATGCAGAGAGAATGAGAATAGAATCTGGAAAAATAAATAAATAAACAAAAAAAAAGAGAATAAGAAGAATAAATGAAACAATTGATTACCTTAACATTTCCAGCTTCCTTGATGGCGGCAATGATCTTCACCTGATCTGGTAACTGTGCGTGACCTACAGTTGAGATTACTACATCGACCTGCTTGATCGCCTTCACTAAACTTTCATGATCGTAAAGGTCACCCTGATACATAATAAGGAAAACAGAGATCTCCGTCAATCGACTCTCTGACACGTAGATACCACAATTCACATCGTATAAACATTCAAGCCCCTCCAGAAAAGCAAAAAAAATATTATATAGAAGTTATTTTTTAGGGTTAGGGGAGGGGGTAGTGTTGCGTACATGGATGAGAGTGACGCCGGAGTTCTGGAAACCCTCGATGAGTTTCCCCTTGACAGGATCAGAAACTGTGCTTTGTCGGACCAAAACGAAAGTTGGATGTCCAGACTTGGCACTTGCTTCGACAATGTGTTTTCCGATATAACCGGTTCCTCCAATGATCAAAATCTTGCTTTTCTCCGCCATTTCGAACTCACCGGAAAACAACTTTCGAAGTTGTTCTGGTAACAGAAAAACGGGGGCGTCGGATCAGAAGCTCAGTCAGAGAGAGAGATAGACCTGACTTCTGAATTTTGGTTGCGGTAGCGAGTCCACTATTTATAACAACGTCTCGCTTTGGAGCTCCTCGCTTTGGCCTCACGTCAAGGCGACCCCCTCTCTGTCTTTTCACTTGCCATCTACCAGTCAACCAAAATGAGTTCACGACGCCCTATTGGGATAGCCAAGCCAAACGTGAAAGCAAAATTGAGATATTTTAATGGATCGTGGGTAGGAATGGCAACGGGGCGGGTTCGGGGCGGGGAGTACATTCCCCGTCCCCGACCCCCTAATCACCCCATCCCCGTCTCCGATCCCCGACGGGGAAAGGAATCCCTAAAATTAAGAGAGAGAGAGAGGATTATTAGAACTTGGGAGAGTTTATGTCGATGATGGTTGATGAGAGAGAGTTCGAAGGGTGACAGCGAAGGCGACGATGATGGCGATGACGGTTGGCGGTTTGTGAATCGACAACGAAGATGAAGTCTCTTCCTCAGTTCTCTTGCCTTTCCTTTGTTCGATGTCCGACGGGCAAGTGGGCAGTGGCAATAGTCAGCGACGGTGGTTGGCGGTCGACGATCGACAAATCGACGATGAAGCTAGGGTTTACTGGTCTTGTGGTTCAGTTGCCTCTCTTGAGTCTTTTCTATCGAAGACAAAAGAATGAAGACTGGTAACTGGTTTAGTCAAGGGCTAAGAGTTTTCCAACTTTTCAAGTTTTCTTGATTTCTTCGAATTATGTTTTAGACTTTTAGTTTTTACTGTTTTATAAATAAATTAATAATTATTATACTTATATAATATATAATATAATATAATATAATATAATATATAATATTAATTGGGGACGGGTCAAGGTGGGAATTGCATTCCCCGTCCCCGTCCCCGTCCCCATCCCTGATGGGGGATTCATGGGTACCCCATCCCCGACCTCGACCCTAACAAGGTAGCTCCCATCCCCGACCCCATCGGGTTGGTTGGGGACGGGAAAAATTGCCACCCCGTGGGCCATTTAATCGTATATTATTTTCAACCTTAATAATGAGGAAGATAGAGGCCAGCCATTTTTTTTTCCAAAAAAGACCTTTTTTTTAAGTCTTTTTTTTTTTCCAAAAGACCTTACCGCTTTATTTTAACAGAATAGGTCAAAATTCTTTCAAAATATCATATCTTTTCTACATCATAGATTCCCCCCGTAAATAGAACGCGTTATCTGAACCCGTGGGTCTACAGGATGCGTTAACCCGCCAATTAGATCATATACTTTTATTTTGTCTCTACTCTCTACCCTACTTATTATTTATGATATTTTAATAGCAAAAAACTATTTATTTATTCACCAAATGTATGTGGCCGTGATTTTAGGTAGATCATGTACCTGTCCAGGTTCAAAGTCGAAATGATTGATGTGCCAAGCCGATGCATAGTTTTTTCTGAGTCAATTACATTAAACACCCCTTATGATTTCACATGTTTTATTCAACATCATAATTTGCAACTTTGCATATTGCTCAGACACCCCTATAGTTTCATACCGGTTTTACTATAGTTGTCTTGATCCTAACATCTGTTTAGCCAAATTAATCAAAATAAAATAACATTTTGATTCTCGTCCAATGTTTTGCTTCAAAAAGGTTGATTTGAGTAAGGGTGCAATTGGTGCATAGCCAAGTTGAACCCCCTAGATATGATCTGTATGGCCGTATGGGTGCTATTATTCAAGTTGGGTTCAACTTCAACATGTCTTGGCTTGGTTCGATTAAAATATTTTTATATTTGAATTTGAATTAGAGTTCAATTAATCACACTCTATTTTCTTGTTTGAATTCAGTCCGACTAAATATTCAATAAGTTTGAGTTTGGCTTGAAAGTACAAAAAACTAATCAATCATGCAGGTTGAATGTGCAAGTTTAGATTTGAGCCTAAATTTGACATATCAACCTTGCTTTTTCATATTTCAAATAAACAATAATTATCAATTAAACTTGCATAAATTGAATTAGAACTAAACACCAAATTCTCCAATAATTTTTATTAAAAATAAATAAAAAATAACGATAACTTTAAACACAAAACATGTATAATATCAATCTTTGTCTTCAAGTGCACATTTAAGTCAATCAAGCCAGGGACCTGTACCCTTTTTATAGTTAAGATGCTCTTATATAAAGACTGAGTTTTTAAATGCAAAAAGATATAAATCCTTAAAATAAGGAATACCAAATGCAGCCTTAAACTTATTCTCAGATTTAAACTCGACATCCAACTCGCCTAATCAAATTTGAACTCAACGTTCAATTAATGTTCAATTTGATTACACCGTTAAATATTTGAGTTATTAGGGGTATTTTTGGAATAAAAAATACGTCCAAGAGATTTAACTATTCCCAAAAGAAAAATACAAATAAATCCTTAGGCTGCATTTGTTTCATGTGTAAATGCTCTTTTACACCGATGGAGTTGAGACACAATGGTTCGGTAAGAGTGCAAAATACGGACCGGCCATTGTGTCGATTTACACTCGTCCTGTTTGGTTACATCAACGTAAATGGAGTTTACGTTTTCTGGTTTGTTGCAGTGGGAGATAGTGCAGAGGAGGAGAAGACAATCTATAGAGGAGTAGGGAGCAGGGGAAGAAGAAGAAGAAAAAAAAGGAGGAGGAGAAGAGAGAACGAACAACTGCTCCTCTCCGGCTGGTTGCAACGGAGATCTGCCTTGGGTTTCACGGACTCCAAGCAATGGAGATCCGATGCCCGCCATACCTTCAAGCACTTGCCCCGGGAAACGGAGTAGATTAAACCATTTCTGATGGCGAGGCCAGAGACAGCGTCGGCGTGTTCAATCCATACTCGTTTCTTGTGACGTTTGACGTGGACGCAGTTCTTCGATAGATGTCATCGCCACGAGTTGATGTCGTTTCAAACGACCAAACCGACCAACCCGGTCCGATCCAACCCAAGTTGGCCGGTTTTTCTCCAGCACCGGTCGGTTTCGGTTTTCATGTGTGAAAACCGAAACCGAATCGACCCAAACTAACTTAGATATATATTATATATATATATAATATTTCAGATATTATATATATATATCTGATATATTTCAGTTTTAATATCTATTTCAGATATATATTTGTGGATATATATATATATATTTCAGCTTTATTTCAGAAATATACATATTATATATAAATTTTCTGATATATAAAATATCAGTTTTAATCCATCAAATCATTTTTAATTTCCAGGCATCCAACCTTTGCTTTCTTAGACTTGAATCCTTTACCATTCACACCAAGAGGATCATTCACAAAATCGACCCAAACCGATTCAAACCGACCAAGTCGGTTTTACTTAGTACTGGGTCAGTTTCGGTTTCATTTCTAGGTAAACCGACCAGGTCAAGTCGGTTGAAAAAATGCTAGTAAACCGACCCAACCCGACCCGTGAACAACCCTAATCGTTTGGCCGGGGTTAGCTACCAGACTCGGATCTTAGAGTCCTGGTGAGTGGTGAAGACCTTCCTTTCTGAAAAAGCGAGACTTAACGGAACCCGAGGCGGCATAGAGTAGGTCATTGGAGACGGTGAGGCAACCAATATAATAGGTAACAGTCCGTTGCTTGAGAAGTTGAACCACATTCACTGTCGAAGGAAGGTCATTAGCCTTTTTTACCTGAGACTTGAAACCCTGCTGAAGGGATGGGAGATCCATCATATGGATGGCCGAACCCTGCAGGTAGGTTGGGCGAAATTTCAAAAATTTCTCTCTCCCCATCTGGGAATCACATTCATTGTTTTAGAAAATCTGCATTTTCAAGGATCAATCTTGAACCAAGAACCAAACCAAATCTGAAACCAAAAGGTAGGAGAGGGATATACCTAATACAGAGTAGTAGTAACTCCTAATGAAGGTGTTCACGCTCAAAGAAATCTCCAAAGACTGCTCCCACTGAAGATGACACAGTGTAGGGTGGAGTAGAATCAGAAGTGTTCTTCCCAAGAACCGAATCCTTCAGCAAGAATTCGATGGAGGCTGTGAGCACGACTTCAGATCAGCCTTTCTCCAAAGACTGATATCAAGAACCTTTCTTGATCGCTCCTACGGTGGAGATCGAACTGGCAATGGTGGCAACAAGAGAAGGACGTAGGGAGAAGATGGCGCAGTCACACTATTGCTGTCTTCTCTCTTTGTGATCTAAGATCTGATGATTTGATGATGTGTCTGAAGGTTCGCCCTCCTCCTCCTTTTATAGCCATAAAGAGAGCTCCTAATCTCATTAGAAGTTTCCTGATCCAAATCCTTATCTGGATCTGGACTATCTTTAAGAGATAAGGAAAACCCTTATCTTATCTGCAGATTAGATCAGCCCTCCTAATCTCATTAGGAGCTTTCCAGATCCAAATCTCTATTTGGATCTAGACTCTCTGAGTGGATAGGGATAACTCCCTATCCTATTTGCTGATCCAAATCCCAGATCCGCCCCTTCTTTAACTAATCAAATTAGACCAGTTCGAAATGGGCTTTAGGCCCAATAAGTCTATGTGCTCATTAACCTTCCAAACTGCTGCCCAGTTGGATTTCTTTGTATGGCGTGGGACCCAAACATTGATCTACACATCAACCACATGGGTTCAGCTCAGCCTCTGTTACAAGGCCTGGCCGAATTCACTGTTATGGGCAGTGAACCCCTAAGCCCATCACCATGGGCTCTTAATGGGCCCAACACTTACATTAAGTGGTCCCTAGGCCAAGCCACTTTATAAAAACGCAGGGATTGTGGGCAGATGCAAGATTAGCCCATCAGGTATTACCCTCAATGGTCTTATACTTAACCTCTTAGCCCATAATGATCAAACACTGCCTGACAAGAGAGAACCTCTCCCTCGGCTACAAGGAACAGTGCTGCACTCTCTACTCACATGGATCCCGGGAATTAAAACCTTTTGCAAACATTTTGAAACCATAATATATATATATATATATATATATATATATATGTATATATATATATATTTTTTGCAAAACAAATTTCAACGATTGAAATCGACTGCCGGTAGTTTTAGGTTTCCATCAGAGAGAGTGCATCCCCGATCATTACCTTT